ATAATCATTATTTGTTTTAAATCATCACGAATTATCCAGTGTCGTTCCTCGGCGGTATGTCTACGGATTTGCAACGCTAAAATCCTGGATAGTACAATGTGACTTTGCTAAAACAAAACAAACAATATCCAGTTGTCAGTCGGAAAAAAAAGAGGTAAAGTTTACACAACTTATTTTAATATTTCTTAGCTGCTTTAAAGTTTAAAGATAAATCTTGTCAGTATAGGTAGCTTTATTCTTAACAAATATAAGCTTTTCTGAAACTGCCATTTTTGTTTATAATGTGGCTGTCAGTACTATCACAACTCTCTTTTTTTTTCAGTTTATCTAAGCAATACAAACTAATAAAAAATGTTTAACCTTTATTAATATTTTACCTTGTAATTTAGCCACTCGGTTTCTCTCTCTCTCTCTCTCTCTATATATATATATATATGTGTTTTTCCAATTGCTAAAGTATGTTTTTTCAAAATCAGGAACTGAGCGTGGCCAAATGATTAGCGTGTCGATCTAAGAATGGTAAAGTCCAAAGTTTGAGCCTCGATATGCCGCTAAACATGCTCCCAATTTTCATATTCGGGGTCTTCATAATCGTGGCAGTCATGTACGCCATTTTGATTAATATTAGCCATGTAGGCGGATGGTGCTGCTAACTTTTTACCCTCTTTTCGTTCAGCAAGTTTTAGTTCGAACTTGGGCTATTTGCTGTAGCCATTTTGGGGTACCCATATGTAAACGGGTGCTTTGGATATAGTAGTCCCGCGGTGGGTCAGCGGCAAGTTTAGGAACTTCCAACGTCAATATCAGGCGTTCTTTTCCCCGTGGTTTACAGAGCTGAGATAGGTTATTGTGTGGCGCTGCACTAAAAGTAGCATATTTTAATACAGCGACATAACAGACATGCTTAGCCTTTGTATAAACCCAATCATTCAAATGAAACAATGCCGCCGCAGATTGGCTTATGGCTATAGGAATATATGTCATGGCTTCTTACGAGGATACTGTTAAACGACATGGAGTCAAAGTACACGATACTTTGTAGAAAAGGGTTTTCAATATCCTCTACGGATGTGTAAAAAATTAACACCATGTAGCCAGCAGTGTTTAGGATAACACAACGTCAGTCAATCTGTAACAACGCACTTATCGGTAGAGTGAAGGCCATGGTTACAAAATAAACCTCTCCAACCAAAAAAAAAAAAAAGGCCATTGCGATGAAGCTGGGTGTACCTCGTAGTGTCAGTAACAGTATATTAAACCAGGATTTTGGGTTTTCAAAAATCGTTTAAACTCCCAGTAATCTCTCGAAATCAACGGTTGTTTTCTTGAAGAAAGATGGCCAAAAGAGATGGAATGTTAGCAATGCTATTCGACCATAATGCTGCCCTAGTGTACTTATTTGACTTTGATTCACTTAATTTATGTAGTCTTGGAAATCGACATTCATGTACAGTGGAGAGTCTTTGTGGTCTAAGATATGTGGTCTAAGATGGCCTCATCGTCATTCATAAAAGCTTGTTTCGGGGTGTGGCATGGTTGTTTAGGACGCTCGGCTGTCAATCTGAGGATCGTGGTATCGAACTCCGTCATCGAAAATGCACTCTCTTTAAGGATGCATTATAACGTGACAATTAATCCTACTTTTCGCTGCAGTTGTGTTAAAAGTAGCCCAAGAGTTGGCAGTTGGTGGTGTTGACTCTAGTCTATCATTTCACACATAGGAACGGATAGCCTTCGAGTAGCTTTATCGAAAATTCAACAAACAATCAGAAGCTTGTTTCAATGGAAATTGGGGTAAGTAATCATGGCCGTTATACTGTATGCGATGAACGAAGTATTTTCAAAAGCTGCACAGAATCCAGAATATCGTTCTTATAAAGTGTTAGCAACCCCTAGTAACATAGGTATTTAGTTAATTTTTATTAACCCTTTTCACTGCTGTGGTCGTATATGTCCTCCCCTGCAGAGTACCACCATGGGCAGATACATCGGAAACACTATATCAATTTTATTTAATCCTTCAAAATTTTGGTTTTAACTACAGTTTTGTATCATCACGAACAAAAAAGTATCCCCGTAAAACTTCCAATAGTTTACCAGTTTCAAGCTTCAGAGAAGTATTAAAACTGTCTCTTTTTTGTTTATATTGTTTATCTAAAAATAAACCTGGCACTGAGAGAGTTTATAAATGTGCTAGAGAAAGGGTATACACATTTTTCGACAGAAATCTGAGCCAAACTTTGTGTACGTTGAGATAAAAAAAATTACTTATTTAAAATCCGCGTGGAAGTCTTTAACCTTCTATCATCCTATACAGTCTTGATTAGCCCCCAGCGGCAAGACTATGGACTTGTATGCTATGTATTGGGGTTTCGATACCCGTGGTAGACACAGCATCGATGGCCCATTGTGTAGCTTTACTCTTAACGACAAACACACAGTCTTGTTTAAATATTATTATAGCACTGATAGCACCGATAAACAGCTTCGAAATTGTGGCATGTTTTAATGATTATTATACTTGAAATGTAGCCAAAAAAAAAAAGAAGAGAGAGAGAGAGCTTGTTTTTCCTGGTTATGGACGTAATTTTTCTGGTCGTTTATTGTTTCACTAAAATTATCACAATCCTTCAACTTCTCGGTAATTTGGGTTGGCTTTGATCTGTCAAAAGGTATTGTTCTAATAAATATCAGTTCTTTATCACGTGAACAGATAGTGCGAGAAAATATAATAGATCGAGCTCATAATTCCCGCAGGACGATAAATTAAATATTGGTGGTGTTTTTTTAGCGCAAACTTACACAATGGGCTGTCTGCGCTCCGTTAATTGCGGGGAATCGATTCCTGGATTTTAGCGTTGTATGCCCGTACATTTACCATTGATTCATTGAGGGATTATGGATGAGACAATAGATAATGGAGTATTAGCCGAAACAATCATTACAGTTCAAAAGTTTTATGTTAGAAATATTTTGTTTTATTGGATCCAGTAAAACATTGGCACAGATTTTAAACAATAAACGTAAGCTGAATTCTGACTAGGGATACCAGAGTTCCAAATTCCAGATTGATAAACTGTACACCCCCCCCCCCCATTACAGAATGACACTGTAACAGCTCTGAAACGACTTAAAAGTTAAATCACAAAAAACATTTTTTTACCATTTGATGTTAATTGCATCGCAATTTAAAGGCAAAATTTGTTAAAATAATAATATGTATGTGCCTAAATTATCTTGAAGCTACTTAAAAGAAACATGTTGCTTTTTTTTTGTCACACTTGGGCAGGTCTTCAGATGTCAATTCTTGTGGCTGCCCAATGACAGGTTAGGTTTAAAAAACGTAACATAGAGGGAGGGAGCATTTCTTTGCCAGGTGATTCTCCAAGTAAACTTTAAAAGGAGTCGTGTATAACGACAAACCGTATATCTGAAACTCATATTGAGATACAAAGAAACTGGGACAGTTTAATATATTAACTGTTTGTGATTAGGGGGGAAAAAACACGTAAGACAACTATATTGTTGTTATTATTTTACCATCACTGTTATAGAAGTGCATACTTTCATTATTACATATTTCAATGAAACGTGACGATGAGTAGTTGTAACGTGTTAACGACCTCAAGACTACACTATCATGACCTTGAGAACGAGAAGTTTTTTATGGAATAGAACTGCGCCATTCCCGCTCGCTAGATCTTTTATCGTTATTAAGTACAAAATTTTTAGTCGTTATTGTTTAATAGGCCAGAGTTTTAATTTTCATATGTTCATGACCGAATTTTATGAAGCCAATAGAAACTAAGAACACTTAGTATACACGCTGTATGTTGTATCTTGAAGTGGACATCTTTGCTAGTTACTCACTAATCTTATACATTTGTAGAGGTAAGTTTGTTGTGTATTGGTGTAACTTGACGTAGGTTAGAAAAAAAGTTACTGCGTACCATAAAAATAAATACGCAACTGTGAATATGCTCCCCCCCCCAAAAAAAACATCAAGAGTTTTTTAAATGTTCAAGAAAGTAGGGGGCTCTGCAGGAGAGGGCCGGCCTTTGGGGTGGGCGACGTGTTCCCTTGCACAGATGCCAACGTAAAGGAGCGCCGAATACAAAGTTCGCACAGGCCACAATTTTGTTTAGGGGCGACTCTACACTCATACCACCAGTGTCAACATCCAACGACAAATTCCCTGTGAACTTTGTATCAACTTGATTCCAGCTGACTGTTTTAATTTAACAAAATAATGCAACCAGGGATTCACCTGCAGACCCAGTAGTGACTGGGTGGGTGGATGAGGTATTTATAGTTTTAGGTGTTTTGTCCCAGTACTATTGGTAATATAGTATATATATACACTCAAAGGGCTCAGTGATTAGGGCACTCAACTTGGAATCTCCAGATTGCGGGTTCGAATCCCCATCACCGAACATACTCGCTCTTTCAGTTGTGGGGGTGTTATAAGGTGACAGTCAATCCTACTATTCATTGATAAAAGGGTAGACCAAGAGATGGCAGTGGGTGGTGTTGACTAGCTGCCTTTGCTCTAGTTTATCACTGGTAAATTTGGGACGGCTAGCTCAGATAACCCTTGTGTAGCTTTCAAAACAAAACAAACCAGATACACGCACAGTTGAAGAGTAAGTTAAGAAACAGCTATAACTCAATGCATGGCTGAAAATGATTGTTGTATAAAGTATGATAACGTCCTCAGTGACGTCATGAAACATTTCCTGACATTTTGTCAGAATGTAAATGTCTGAAATGACAAAAGTTCTACTGTTTAGGTTTAGTTTCTTGAGTTGATGGAAGATTACCAGCATAGCTTGTGCCACCATTTCATGATTGGGAAATATTATAAAATATTTATAAAGTTTTCGAAATACAGATGCATATTACTAACAGGAATCTACTAGATTAATTTATTGTTATTTTGTCAGCAGATATATGACAGTTTTTATTAAGATGGATGTCATTTGATACTTCTTCCATTTCAGATCATTAGTGATAATACCAGTCACCATGGCAACATATGTAAGAACAACAAATGAAGGTTGTTGTAGTGTGTCATTTCTTAAATTTGTTCTCCACATCTTCAACTTCATATTTTTTGTAAGTTTTGTTAATTAACTTAGTGTTTAAATTATATAATAAAATTCATTTTGTGGTAATGAATGTTAAGTGTTTTTAATCCATAGGCAAATTATTTTGTATTAGAAAAATTTTTAAAGTTTAAGTTTTTTTTTTTAATGTGTAGTTTATTTTAAAGTTTTATTGTGTGTTGATCTTCACTGTGTTTAATGAAATCCTAAAACAGGTAGCCTAGAAAGTCAAAAACTTAAATGGGAAATCACATTATATTATTAATATGCACATACAAGTTTCATTAAGAGAATAAAGTCAATATAATTAAATAGGTCATTACAGAAGAGCTTTTGAATTTCTTTTCATTAAGACCTGCCTTTTATAGTAGAATAATTTGATATTATTTATTGTAAAACTAGGTTAGCACAGTAATTGTTTAGTTCAGCTTGCAGGATGTGCTGTTCTGGGAGTGGGGTTATGGACAGTGATTGACAAACATCATTATGTAAACCTTCTAACCACAAGCACTTACGTAGCAACGTCGTACATTTTGATCATTGCTGGAATTACAGTTTTGATTGTGACAGTGATTGGTTGTATTGCAGTACGCCAGGAAGATCGCTGCCTCCTGTTAATCGTAAGTTACAAATTGGAGAAGTTTCATTGAATAAAAATTAGATAAATTACCAAAACTCTGTTATCCCTAGTGCCCTCAGAAGGCAAGAGGTTCTTTTGGTTTCTTGTTTTGTGTCGTTGTTTCATTAATTATGTTTGTATACATGCACTTGTACGTTAATTAAAAATGTAATAGGTAATAAGCCTACTTAGAATGTTTTGAGTGTTCGTTAAGATCAACATAAGATATACAACTGAGAAGGGGATTATTTGTATTGTAATGTTTATGTTGTGTATGGAAAATTATTGCATACTTACAGGGCCTCCTAACTAAGTTTACACTAATTATTTACTTATATACATGAGTAACACTAAAATTTATCAACCTGGCCATCAGTATAGCTGCTTAAATAATGTTAAAATTATGAAACAATCTGGCAAAGGAAATGCACTGTAAGATGTAGCCATAATAGAGAGAAGTAAGTTAATAGTAAAGATAAAGGAACATTTCAAATAAAGATATATGTGCAGTAAAACAGAATGACTTTTACACAACAAAACATCAACAAATAGTAAGTATGATGTATGTGCGTATTTAATTGAAACTTCTGTTGTCCCTGAATTCATATATAGGATGAACAGAGGAGTCTTATATTTGTCGGTTTATATCAGAATATAGCAAACTTCCAAAGGTGACATCTTGTGGAACACCATATCATTAATATCACAGCTCGTATTTAGATTTGTGTTTGATTTGTAAGAAGTTATTGAATGAGAAATTTATACAGAAAATGCTATATTGTGTATCACGTTAAGTTACTTATGACAGATTTTAGTTAATTTCCTGTTGTTCCTCAATCTCTTACCCATAGTTTTTTTAAATAATATTATGGCCTGTGTTTTTTTTCAACATTTGGGCTGTTGAAGAGAGTACATTTAAGCTCACAGGCTATAATTTAAATGGAACCAAATTTTTAAAAAAATGTAACATTTAGCAAGAGCTGAACACAGTTACAAAATAGATTCTCCCAATGATAGGATTTATGCTTAATGGATACAAAGTCTGAAATAGTTTTGAATGAAATTCTGGAGAAAACGTATCCTACAAATTTGTAATAATGGCCATTTCATAACTAGTTTTAAAGTTTTCTTGTTTATGGCTTTTTCAAGTAAAAGTTTATAAATTCCCATGTATGTTCTTATGTTTAGTTAGTGTCTTTAAATTGCATTAATACAGTCAACAGACCACACAGCAGGAGTCTACTTATACTATGCTGTCTCGAGCCTGTGGTCGAGCTAACACTAGTATATGTAGGGCTTGATTTAACAGGCAGGAAGATCCACCTGCCTTTGATGTATCATTAAAACTTAACCATAATGTGTGCAGCTATAACTATAGATGGCCAAGCTGGGTCCTTGAGTTATCTTAGCAGCTGTTTGCCTCTATCTGAAATGGTAAGAAGCAGAAGTCAGACGCAAATTGATAAAGCACTGTTAACATACAGCAAGTCTCTAAAGATGAATTCTGCGACACATTTTTTGTGTTTGGTTAAAAATAAGAATTAAATGATCATTTTCTTCAAAACTGTATAGTCGCATTAATTCACTGGTTGAGTTTGACTTAATCACTCTGCAGTACCTTTCCTGTCATTTCTTCACATAATGTGGTACTTTTAACTTGTGTGTGGGTTACAGACATTTCTTTGAATATGCATAGAACAGCTGACAGTGGTACTCTCATAATCATCTTTTATATAGTTCCTAAACACCAGTTCAGACAGACATTATGAGTTGTAGGATTATTATGAAGAAAATTTGTCCACAAAAAAATGATTAAAATCAAAAGAAACCAATTATAGCTTACATAGGTTTTCATTAAATGTTTACAAAACACTCAAGCTAAATGAAAGTTTAAATAATGATCTGAAAAAAAGTTTAAATAACTTGTTGTTATACATGTTTATAATCATAGCTCAAACGACTAATTTCTCCCCTTTACAATTAGTTTATAATATATCTTTATTCGGGTCTGTTTACATACTTTTTAAAACTTTTCATGCAGTTATTCTGTGTGTAGTTTTTACATTCCCATTTACTGAATGTTGTAAGGCCATAAATATAAGCTAATCTCTTTACACAGGTAAAGGTTATATACTAAACATGTTTGGATTAGCTGCTGACTTTTAACAAATGACACAGTAAACATTATTCACAATATCATTATAGAAAAATAAACATGTTTGGATTAGCTGCTGACTTTTAACAAATGACACAATAAACATTATTCACAATATCATTATAGAAAAATAAACATGTTTGGATTAGCTGCTGACTTTTAACAAATGACACAATAAACATTATTCACAATATCATTATAGAAAATAAACATGTTTGGATTAGCTGCTGACTTTTAATAAATGACACAATAAACATTATTCACAATATCATTATAGAAAAATAAACATGTTTGGATTAGCTGCTGACTTTTAACAAATGACACAATAAACATTATTCACAATATCATTATAGAAAAATAAATGTACGAGTAAAATTAGCGAGAGTATGCATTACACTAATGAATATAATATTTACATGTATCACCTCACTTGAAAACAGCATGCCAAGTAGAGGTGTTAGTCATGTATGCAGAACACCCAGTCATCAAAAAACATAACCATAGTAACCTGCCACTGTGTTTGATTTCATCCCAGATGCCAAGAGCTGATTGGCCTATGAGGTTAGGGACACTTCTGAAGCAGCTATATCTTTGATTATTAGTTAATTTTGCCAAGTACTCCAAATATTTCTTTTCTGTTCACATAATTGAATTTCTTATTTTATTTTTTGTTTCAGTATACTTTTCTGCTTCTACTAATCTTCCTTTTGGAGGCTGTTGCAGGTGTTATTGCCTATGTATATCAGGAACAAGTAAGACCTCTTGACAGATTTAATATAATGTTGGTATTTGTATAATTTTGCTCACAGTGTGTTAAGATTATTTTCACCCATTTTTATGTATAATTTGTGTACTTGTAAGTAATAATATATTGCATTCTTACTTCTAGTTAGCTTCATGAGATATTACTGGTTATTTTGGTGGGCATAGGCAGCTTTTTGCTTAATATTTTCTTTATTTTAGGTCATTTATTGTTTTTTGTGGATACGCTTATTCGTTATTCACTTGTTGGAAATCAGTGTAATGGGTAATGAAGATATATAAGGAATTAATAACAAAAATTGTTGTATTTATCCTAATTTTACATTTTCTCTCGAGTGAAAGTAACCTAGCCTTATCATCATTCACATGTGCTTTGAGCATCACATGTGATGCTAGTATTAAACTCTCTTCTAATCTCATACACTGAATCAAAACAACCGGTTCCTACTGCCACGTTCACGAGCATCAGCTGCATATCAAATAAATGTAGCTGTGTATCACATGATGCTCAGGACAGGAATAAGGTTAAACACCCAAATGATGTTATTTATTCTGTCATTGATAGTAATTTGTAAGTATAATAACATCTGTTAAGAATATTTTAAATTTTTAGCTTAATGTGTGAATTTAAGACTAATCAGAAGTTCCTAAACTGCTGAACTTTATGAGATACTTTTAGCATTATGGCTAAAAAAAAGTTAACATGAAGGTTTTGACCTGATGACTTGGAACAACTTAATAATTATTGACTTATGACAATTCCTAATTTATATTCATTTTTATACTAGCATCTATTAATTAATGTTTGTGTTATTAAAATTATAAATTCCATGCATCACATGGTTTTTAAAGATGCTGAGTTTCTCTGAGAGGAGGGAGAAATTTATACTTAGTGTAACTGTATTCCTAATATAGTTATCCACAATAATGATGTTTTTATCAGGCTCTGTAGACAGTTATTCATAATAATGTTGTTTTTATCAGGGTTTGTAAACAGTTATCCATAATAATGTTGTTTTTATCAGGGTTTGTAGACAGTTATTCATAATAATGTTGTTTTTATCAGGGTCTGTAGACAGTTATTCATAATAATGATGATTTTATCAGGGTCTGTAGACAGTTATCTATAATAATGTTGTTTTTATCAGGGTCTGTAGACAGTTATCTATAATAATGGTGTTTTTATCAGGGTCTGTAGACAGTTATTCATAATAAAGTTGTTTTTATCAGGGTGTGTAGACAGTTATCAATAATGATGATGTTTTTATCAGGGTCTGTAGACAGTTATCCCTAATAATGTTGTTTTTATCAGGGGCTGCAGACAGTTATCCCTAATAATGTTGTTTTTATCAGGGGCTGTAGACAGTTATCCCTAATAATGTTGTTTTTATCAGGATCTGTAGACAGTTATCGATAATAATGGTGTTTTTTTATCAGGATCTGTAGACAGTTATCCATAATAATGGTGTTTTTTTAAACAGGGTTTGTAGTTAGAACTTTCGGTATTCATACATTAAAATCATATTCTTGTTGTATGCTGATGGAACAGACTCATAATTGATAAAATATAGAGTTTGATAAGTATTGTAAGTTGACTTTAAAGGAATATTGTTAACATTTGTTCCTGTGGATTGTCATCATGATATAGGTTATTTCTGAGCTAGAAATCTCCATGAATGGAACTTTCACCAGCCAATATCAGTTTGATGAAAGTAGAACAGCTGCTATCGACCGATTACAAAGAAAGGTAGGGAAGCCTTACTTTGTTTGTTAAAATCCTTTAAGATTTACATTACCTTAAGATACCATCTACTCTCATTACATTTATCAAATTGAATACAGATCTGATATCATTTTGTAAAATGTGTTTAATCTAGAAAAGAAATAAGGTTTATTTATACTTTCAGTACAAATGCTGTGGAGCTCTTGGCTTCGAAGACTGGCATTATAGCAGATGGCTGAAAGAAAACCCTGAAGAAAAAAGAAAAGTACCTGACAGTTGCTGTAAAACTGAAACACTATCATGTGGTGTTCGGGATCATCCTTCAAACATTCATGATGTTGTAAGCATTCTCACATCTACTCTTTCTTAGTGATACTGGCATACTTTACTTGAACAATAGCTCAAACTAAAAATAATTAACAAAATACTACTGATTCTACTTAAGAGTATTTATTCAGTTTTTAAATAATTTAATCTAGATGAGTAAACCACTGAGTGATATATATTGCATATACCTACAGTAATGAAAGTAATTATAAAAACTCACAATCGAAATACATACAGGAGTCACAAACAAGTAATAACAGCTAGATGGTATAAAATATGATCACAGGACAGTGAATAAGGTGTACAATGCACTAGCATTTTGTATGTGAGCCATTTGCTTTACACAGAGTATTCTACCATGTTTTCATGCTGCCAGCCCCCAGTGGTATGTCTGCAGACGTATACCAATAGAAACCGGGTTTTGATATCCATGGTGGGCACAGCAAAGATAGCCCATTGTGTAGCTTTGTGCTTAACTACAAACAAATCATGCTTCCACATAGTTTATAAATGCACCATTGTGAAATATTGTTCCAAATGTCCTGTATTATTCCACACAATTCAAGCAAGTTGTTTGGTTGCCATTTAACCTTCTCAGTTTCTATATAAGCTCTACAGCCTCACAAATATTCATATTGAGACTTTGTGCAGGTCTAGCCATGATGCAAGTGTTCCATTTATCTTCTTACTATCTAGATACTGTTTCACAACATTTCATGTGTGCTTGTCACAATTATGATACCATTTTTCCAAAACATACTTACCTCCTTTCACACTACAGCTAGTACTCGACTGCCAAGGTTTCTTCCTTTGCCCATCTAAGCATTGGTTAGATTTTTTTCTCATTTGTTCCAGTCTTGTATACCCCACTTAATTACCCTTGACGATATTTGTCTCATGACACTCTCCACCTGCGTCAATGCTCTCTCTATCATGTTGCTGTATATAAGCACCTCATTCAGATAATGTTATTATGTTTTTCTCGACAAAGCATTCGCTAATGAGTTTTTCTGTGTTGAAATTGGTAGGAGATACTTTGAGCATTCTTTGTGTTACCTAATTGGTTTTCGTTTATTATTATTTTCATTTTTTTTTGTATTTGACAAGCTGATATATGGCATGAATTCCTGGATTATTATTTCTGTCACAGAGGCAAATCAGGTCTCTCCTTAGCATTGCTCAACTCTTGATTGAGACTTTTAGTTATCTTATTATAGTGAGATAGAGACACAATCCGTTCAGTGGTGTTTCTCTAGGGAGCTCTGAGGCTGCAATTGAGGGCGATCCTGGACAATCTAGAGAGAATTTAGATTCACTTTTCCTTGCACCTTCTTTTATTCTGTTGGCTTCTCAGGAGGCCACCTTGGGATAAGCTGCTTCAGGCTCTTTTTCTTTAGTTGGTCCATCAAGTGTGTGATGTTTTGGGTCTTTCCCCAGTTGCTGTTGAGCCTGCTCTGTACTTGATGGCTGAAAGGTATTATGGGAGCAAGTACTTAGTTTCCCTCCATCCTCTGACATTATGGTTCATTCAGGGAGGTTTACTGCTCAGTTACATGAAGGGACAGCTATGCCTTATTTACTACAGTTGTCAGAGTACATGATTTAGCCTACCATCGTCAGGTTGAAACATATTCTAACTCTCAAAAAATACATCTACTTTGGGAATTTGGGGTTGTAGTGCAGACTTTGTAGTTAACCTGAATAGATCAATGCCTCTGGTGGGACAGTGGTAACTCTACAGACTTACAATTCTAAAGTCCAACTTTATAACTAAACTTTGTTGGACCACCAAGTCCATTGATGACAAGCTGGACCCATTATTATCACACACTTTCATACTTGTTATCATTGGCATCTTGACTTTCATCAGCTCCTACAGGGAATCATAGTTCCAACCATATTCGAGGGTCCCGACCACCAACATCAGTCCCTCGGCCCATTGATACCCAGAATAGATTCTGTCCATATCCAAGGATTCTGCTGCTAGGTCGGAACACTACCAACGGCATTGGTGATTATTGTATGCCTTCAGTGTCTGTGGGGGGCTCAGCTCCAAGAATTTCTGGACATGTGATAAACATTAACCATGGATCCTTGGGCACTACAGGTCCCTGAGTCAGTATTAGTCATTCAGTTCACGTCTTTAACACCATTATCAACCAACCTGTAGGGTTTCCATTTCCCGCAAATCCGGATTTTGTAACTTAGTTCTTGGGCTGTCGGAGTTTGGTTGGTATGGGGTAGAGAGAGAGATGTGCCAGTTCTCCCAGGGTTTTATTCCCGTTGGCTTATTGGCCTCAAGAAGACAGGAGAATGGTATCCAGTCATCGATTTTTCTCATCTATATCAATTTCTAGATTCTCCAAGGTTCACAAGTGACTCATTCCTCACTCTGAGTTGGCATTTTTTATTAGGATTGTGGATGTCTTCGACTTCTAGCTGCACACTGCCATAATGGTGGCATCCTGCTACTATCGACGTTTTTTGTGCACAAGGGTCAGGTACTACAGTTCAGGGTTTTTACATTTGGACTAGCATTGTCACCACATGGGTTCTGCCGATTCGTACTAGCATTTTCTCATCACCTCCATTCTCTAGCCCTGTGCACACACAATTTCATGGACAATTGGTTACTGCTGGCACTATCTCTCAATTGTCAGAATGCCACACCCAGATTCTACTTTCAGAAACAACCAAAGCAGGTTTCGTTCTCAGAGCTGAGACGGCTATTTTTGTTCTACCTCAATATGTCATTAGTGTGGGTAGTTGTTTCATCACGTATCTCAGTCAGTCTCAGCCAATATTCATCCGGCTCCATGCTATGGAACAGGAAGCTTGAATCTTACTCACCTCTCCTTCTCCCACTACACGAATGGTTCTTTCTCTTTTTAGAATGTGAGCATCACTCAAATACCTCATGCCTTTGGGACAAGTGCACAAGAGATCCTTTCAATGATCTTTATGCAACCAAGGGATGATAAATATTGATTCACTGGATTCCCCAGTTTTTTTTTTTATTCAGGATTACTCTTTGATCTCTAGGGGATGTTAGATTGGGACAATACTAAGATATGGGTTCCTTTGACGTCACCAGTGCCTCGCTTCAGGGATGGGGTGAATATCTCAACAATCAGGAATTACAGGGTCTACTCACGGATGACAACGCTTCTCTACACAATGTTTTAGACCTTCTTACTCTTCAAAAGAAAATGTCTCATAGTCTTGGCTTCTTAAGGGGAAAATTGTCAGGCTTTACTCCAAATATTCCATAGTGGTGTTTTGCATTTCCCGTCAAGGTGGCACTTGATCCAGGGCTCCTTGTTTTCAAACCTTGAATCTCCTTTCTCAGAACCACTCCTATCATGTCACCCTACTAGCTTGTCATGTTCCACAGGTGATGACTGTGGTAGCAGATCAATTGTTTTGACCCTAACATTCTCCTAACAGAATAGATGCTGCATTGCAAGATTTTCTGCTGGATTGACTCTCATTTTTAAACACTGATGATTGGCAGGTTGGCCACTTTTTGAAACACCCAACTACTGGAAATTTGGTCTCCAGTATCTCACACTTGGGCTTTGACAATGGATGTATTCTGTCAGGATGGGACAGGATTACAACTCTAGGCCTTCAATTCATTTGTTATTTAAGGTACTAAATATGATTTGTTCCAACCATTTGAAAGCACCAGATTGGCAGCTACTCCTTGGTTTCTGCTTCTATGGTACCTTCCACTTCCTCTTTGGCCATCACTGTGGAGGCAGCAGTGATTTGACATCGTACACTCGGCTATTCAGAAACTCAAGCTTCAGACATGGAGATTACGCAGTCCTTTGCACAGCATCAGGGTTTAATTTCTAAGGTTGCCATGCATCTGTCTCAGTCTTTGCTTAGTCCTACGATGGACATTTATCAACGAAAATGGCACTCATATTGCCATTGGTGTATTGAGAGGAGGTTGAACCCACTTTGATCAGAAGTGCCAACCATAACTTGTTTTCTGACCTGGCTTTTTGGCTAGGGTTTTGCATCTTCCACAACACCCTGTATAAGGTAGCCTTATTGAGTAACTTTTGATACTTGAGACAAAAATTCTTTGAGTCCCCAGTACTCTTCAGCTTCCTCAAGTTGCTTGGGGTCTTTTGTCCCAAACAACCATTCCAGTTACCTATCTGGTATATTAAGTTTACATTACATGCCCTTTCTCAACATCTATTGTGACATTAGCCTCATGTATCACCTGTTCCTGAAGGTTTATTTTTTGTTGCTTCTGACCTACAGATTTCGCCTGTTGGAGTGGTTTGCATTGATTGTGCACAGGATGCTTTCTTATTCTACCTACGTCCTCAGACCAGTTCTTCTTCCTTAATACACTGTCAGACAGGGAACAGAATAAATCCTTTTCACTGATTCACCTGATCACTATACCTCACTTTTATGACTGATCAGATTTTGATTGTTTGTTATGTCCAGTGAAGGTCTTGAAGGTTTTGTTGCCTGCACTAATGCCTTTAGAGACGCTAGTTGACGACTATTTATCCATTGTGGATCATTCAGTTTACCAGGATTTTCCCCCCGGCTACAGTACAAAATTGATCCATATCGCTTATTTTGGGTTCTCTTTGAAGGCAAGGAGTTTTCTGTTAGTCACATCTAATCAGATTCATCACATTTCTATGTCCTTAGTGGCCCGGTTGAATTTCCCACTGGAGGACATTGTGTGGTCTGAGTATGTGGACCTCCTCAATACTTTTAGCTCATATTATTTATATGATCTAGCAGTACCTTCATTGGAGGGTTTTCAACTACCCCCTGTAACTATCTTAACCACTTCCACTAGATTATACAGAGGGGTGAGTATTTTCATTATTACACTTGTCTATATGTCTTCTTTCATGGTCCCTTACCTCATTTTCACAGGATCCCACTCTGTGGCTTGTGTTGCCCAGGCAGATGTTCTTTTATCACACCAATTCCACACTAGCAACCACTATTTCAGTATACTTTATCTAGGATGCAACAGGCTCTGTAGAAATGAGGTGTTCCATAAAACTAAGTAAAGGCTGACTGAGTGGTATTACTGTACTGGACCGGCACTCATGGACTATCATGAGTAAAGCATAAGGGGATCCTGTCCGTCTCTGTTGATCATTGTATTGAATAAATTGAGATTGGTTTACTTTTAAAATATAGGGAACTTGGTTCACCTATTGCACTGTTTCCAGAACATAGTTCCTCAGGGCTCCCCAATGCGCATTACCCCCCACAGATTCTACTAGTGGAACTACGAGTCCTTACCACTCCTGGTTTCCAGTCACTGGGGTGGCAGACAGAGGATTTTCCTCCAAAATGTTAGAGTGAATTTCTCCACTCTTAGGGAAGAGGGCAAAGTTAGGGGCCCTCCTACCTGGGTCACTTGATGTTTTTTCCCATATGTTGGTAGAAAAAGCACCAGCCTACGCGGGAGCTTACTTGTAATACTAGTTCAGATTTGATGCTCAGCTATATGGTTGGGATGAGTGTGGCCCTTCTTTTTGATCAATATTGGTTCACTACATTGTTCATGGAAGGGGGTCCATTGTTTCCTCATAATTCCGAATGCAGAGTGGTCCCATCCTTGGCCCTTGGTTGAGCACAGTGTGTTCCACTTTCTTCACCATAATTTTGGGGGCAAGCGAAATTTATCTTGCCCACACAGTTGGGGAGTGAGGATGAGTGTTCATAATTCCAGACCAGATGAGTTCTGTTTTCTCAGGTTGAGTAAGGCATACAAGATCCCATCATTCCAAGCCTGGGGTGTTGTCTTTCGAACTTCTTCAGGTTGAGAAGATCTGTCTACTTTGGTGTTTCTTACCTTCTCATTGTGATCTCTGTGGCTCGGAATGTATCACTCTATATTGACCTAGCCACGCAGTGGAACTTTGGCTATCTGGTTGGGGCTGGCCAATAATAATTACTCGTGTACTATTCCACCCTCGATACTAATATTAAGTTCTGGGTGAAGAGCATACCTGTTCTGGGTGTAGTGCGGTTACCCCACTTGGGTATCACTCTTATCTTGGTACATCCCTGTTCTGTACAGATGATTTCTGTATGGACAATGCCCTCACTGGTCCCTCTACCTTCTCAATGTTGGATTCTAGCTAAAGTGGCAGTGGAGGGTAAGTATGTTTTGGAAGTTAACATTTCCCTAAATTGAAAATGTATTTCCAATAATACTTATCCTCTCTCACACTCTCCCATCCTTCCCCCACACTAACAGCTGGTGTTAGAGACTGCAGATTGAGTCTGTCTTGAAAAAGTGATAACATTATCTGAATGATGTACTTATATACATTACCAGGATAGAGGGCTCATTGATGTAGGTGGAGAGACAAATATTGCCAAGGGCAATTAAGTGGGGTATAAAAGACTGTAGCAAGCGAGAAAAAATCAGACCAATGCTTAGATGGGCAAAGAAAGAAACCCTGGCAGTCAAGTAATAGCTGTAGTGTGAGAGAAGGTGAGTATTATTGGAAATACATTTTCAAGAAAATGTTAACTCTTCTCTAGTATCAAACAAACTCCTGTTGTTTATTATTATGATTATGATAGCATTCTTTTTGGTCAAATAAGTTTCTGTTGATTGTTGTTAGATAATCTGAACTTGGATTCATCTGTAAAGAGCACACATCTCCAGATTGGATCAATGTCAATTTCAACCCTTTTATTTAGTTATCTCTTCTCACCAGTGTTTTTCAAGCAGCAACAAGTCCAATGAAACCACTTTGTGCTTATTGTTTTCTAAGTAACATTCACAAACTTGTATTTACATTAATGCTGTTGACAAGATCTTTACTTGTCTATCATCTATCTTGTAAAGAAAATACCCTGTGATACTTAATATCACTTCTGGAAAGCTACAACTTTTCTACCTTCACTGTTTCTAGTGTTAACAGTGCCAGTTTCATTCTAACCTTTCAGTCTTGCATACAGCTCTTGCTGACTTTCTTATGAAGTATTATTGACTAGCCAAAACTTTAATGTCTATATGCTTATCATGTGATATTTCAGTCCTTGGAGCCGTGGCTAGTACTAATACTACTTGGCATAGTAGGATTGTGTAATTTTATTAGCTATATTTTAGTTAAGCAATTTCTGAATAACTGGATAACAAGCAATCACATTGCAAGCTATCTACATGTGATTTTACTGTGGTGCAGTTTATTTTTTATTCATGACAAAAGGGTGGCGTTCTCATAGTATTTTCTTCACCATTTCTATAAATATTTACAATACTGTTTGTCCAAGAAAAAATTTATATTGTTAAATTTAATGACAACTTCATAATACATGTAACAAGCTTTGCATTCCTAATGTGCGTAACTGTAGGTTTTCAGATTATAGGACATGGAGATTTGTATTATATTTCTGACCAGTAAATGAGATTCTTCAATGTCATCACTATTAGAGTAAAATTACTTCTTTTGTTTTTTTTTAAGACACACCTTCTAATCTCTCTCAGGGTTGTATCCGAGCACTTGAGAGGCAAATCAAAGATCATCTGAACATCTTGGGAGGTGTTGGCTTAGGAATCTGCCTTGTTCAGGTCAGGATCTCAGTTTAACCATCAAAGAATCGTGTGATAATAATAACTTGAATGACTGAAGCATTGATACAGTGTAGTCAATGTCACTTTTACATCTTCAAATACAATATAATTCCATTAGCCTTAAAACTAGACACAAATAACTAACTTTTAGATTTGTGTATTTACTATCAACAACAGGTCTAGACTTAGTGTTTTATAATTTTAGTGTATTAGTTTGCTGGAGAATATATTAGTACATCACTTTAAATCATCATAATCTGTTGTGTGTGTTAACAAGAACATCATACAGAATAACTATATCATGAATTTATTATTTGTTTTTATTTTATTATATAATATATGTACTGTGGTATCAAATGCACAAATTGTACTTCTAGCCTTCTTCAGTTAGTAGAATGAACATTTGAAATGCAACAAAAATGTTGGTCAAGGAATGTGGTTAATTTCCTTTCCTCCTAGTTACCTGTTGTTTTGGGTGATTCTCCTATGTTGTCTTGTGCATTTTCTCAGTGGAAAGATTGTTGTAAAATAAAATAAACTATGTGAAGGTTGACAGTAATCTTTTTTTTCCACTGATGAGTTGGGTGATACCTTGAGGGTAGTACATCCTTATTGTTAGTGGTGTGAGTAGCACATACGTACTGAGAGGTATGGTGATACTGAACCTTCTATATATAAAGCTGTGCTTTTCCACAGTCTTGAATAGATTTGAGGTAGATTTTAAATCAACAGATTGGTTCAACCACTAAACTGATTTACAGTTATCCAGTGAAACACTGTTCTTTATCAGTGTTTAATTTTAAAGTCAGATTTCAGGTTTTCTCTGCTGTACACTTCCTGAATGAACCTCCTGTTATCTGTGGGAATTGTCTGAAAGGTATGTTTAGCACCACAGTATTTCATTCATAGTTTCAATTGCTTTTTCTTTTTACTTGAGAACAGAAGTTATTTATAATTAGTAATATCTAACTTGATTGTTATATTACCAACCTCGTAGATGACTGATGGTTTATTTGTAAACCTAAAAGTTCTGTATGGATAATGTTTTATGTACATATGATCACTGCCTAGTCAGAGAATCTCTGTAAAAACAGCACTTATCTTGTAATATTCAGATGGAAAAGTATACAAAGCACACATATATGTAAAACTATCAGTTAAAATTATAATTATTTTTTTTCATTTTTCATTTCTTTAGGTTTTTGGGATGATTCTCTCATGCTGTTTGTACATGACCATCAGAGACTACATTAGGCCAAAGAAGCATTACAACTATGAAAGATGAGGAAAAGATGTTTGTCTTCAGTGGATAGGGGTAGGCAAGATCAGTACAATATTCAAGAACAAGTATTCTCTGGTATATGTTGTCTTCATTAACTATCGGATACATAAAGTTTGAGTTTTTTTAAGAGCTGTCGTGAAATGAATCTTGTATAAGCATCCTGGATGTGCTGCTGTCAGTTTGACAACAGAATGTTGGCAAGATTTTGTAAAATGCTCTTGCTAATTAATAGTTTAAATTTTCTAACATGTTTAACTCAAAGTTTGCCTGTTGCTTTCTTCTCAAGAGTTATGCAGCATTCGTACGAGTTTTTTTTTTTTTTACCTAGTTCTTTAAAGCTTAAACATGTATACATAAAAATGGTTAAAGAATAATTTTATGTACCAGTAGAATCAAAATGTGAACATTCCAAAAAAAAAAAATGTCACTCAGTATTCTAAACAAGATTTGTACTCATTAAATATGTATTTTAAACCTGGCTACCAAACATGTGCAGCTAGGGTGTGTTCAATTCTAAAATGTGTTATAAATGTATGTTTTGCTGGTACATACACTAATATCCAATACTATTGCTGTTGAAATTTTAGCCCCCCCCCCCCCCTGTAAATTAAGCCTATGGCTCAGTTAGATGTTAACTGGACCTTTAACTGTTTTCTTCTGCAAGTTTAAATAATGAATCTCTTTGTTAATTAAATACAGAGTAAGGATAACAATTAAGCTGTGGATTATTTTCCCTAATGCAGTATTATGTCAAGTAAAACATTGAAATAGTAATACCATCAGTGAAAACTGTCACAATGATCATCTAGGACTGAAAACTGATATCAAAACGTCACCTGTACATGACTCAAGCTGGATTCTTAAATTTTCACCAGTATTTTTGTTCAGTCATTTAAATATTTGTGGATAAATAATATACAGTTAGAAAAACCTTACCAAATGACACCTCACCAATTTAATCCAGTTCACACAGTAACAGCTGTTGTCAGGAAAGCAAGTTGCTAATATAACTAGCATCTCAACCACTACTATATCATATCCCAGCCAGCCTGATATAAGGCCTCATCAGTACTGAATGTTACAGATAAGGTGTGGTTGACATATTATTATACTTTCTTAATTAAGTAACAGCTGTTGTCACAAAAGCAAGTTGCTAATATAACTAGCATCTCAATCACTACTATATCATATCCCAGCCAGCCTGATATAAGGCCTCATCAGTACTGAATGTTACAGATACGGTGTGGTTGACATGTGGTTCTTACTTATAATAGTTTCATAACTTATAAAAATGGTTTTAATTTTAAAAAACTTCAAGTCTGTAATCTTACAACATACAGTATATTGTGAAAACACCTTTACAAGTTTTTCTAATCAAATGTTGAAGTTATGTAAGACATGAAAATGTAGAAATGAACCATCTGTATATAATTTTATAGTTTTACAGCTTTCCAGTTCAAATATTGTTATCATAATACTCAAAGTGATTTTATTGCGCTGTTGTAAGCTTCATGTATGCAATTAGATGTGATTAACTTTAATGTTGATATATATACCTTAACCTAGCCTTACCACTACTTCAAATGTTGTAGTTATCTGTATACCAGCCTCACATATGATGGAGAGCAGCTAATTGTATGTAAAGAAGCTAAACAATGCTTAATTTTATTTTAATCTCAGAAGATTAGTGATGTGAATGGAGATCAGGTATAAAGAATGAATCCTCCTGGTGGCTCAGCAGTAAGTCTGAGGGATTATAATGTGAAGAATCGGGTTTCCTTACCCACAGTGAGCACAGCAAATATAGCCCATTATGTAGCTTTGTGCTTAATAACAAAGAAATTGTTATAAGTTCAGGCTTCACAAGTATGAACTACTGTGGAAGATTTTTCAGTCAGTAGTTGGCCAGCTTCTTATTAGTTTTTTTTTTTTTGCATTTTTAAAGACAAAACTTTCTGTTTATTAAAATGATTGTGTATGTCATGTACCTTATCTTACCTACAGGAAAGTTTACCAAATACATTATTGTTATGGCATTAATTTTAAATTGGATTAAAATAAAAACAATTACCAGACATTTCTTTCAAGGTAAATAAAGTAATGACCTATATCTCCAGAATGTATCTTCATCAGCTCAATATTTCGCTTTTACAACTTCGTCAGGAGCTGTCGACATCCTTCACGTTCACTAATCCAGTTGAACTTGTAAACTAGTAGGATAGCGATAGCTCCTGACGAAACCGTAAAAGTGAAATATAGATCTAATAAAAATACATTCTGGAGATATGGGTCATTTCTTATTTACCTTAGTAAGAATGTCTCATTTCAAACTAGTTTGCATTAAACAAAGTTAAGAATAATAAAAACAATTACTATATACTAGTGACGAAAAGGGCATGAGTAAAACTATTAAAAAGTGTTGTCAACAAAATATTATGCACGTATCAAAAAAAAAGAAGTACAAATTTTAGTTTTATTAATTGCAATAAAGATAGTTATTTGATATCTGATTATTTATTAGTGCAATTTGAGTAAAATTTACTATTTATAAAAAAAAATATTGTATTGCCAGTAAAAAAGAAAGTGTACAACTATTTTTTTTTAAAAGGTATCGATTAACGGAGTAGAGATCTGAAGGTATAACTTATTGATATTTTTTTACTGATTAAATTATATAAAATTAATCTGTTTGTGTGGGTATTCTTGTGGTGCCCATTATTCTGTGACTAACAAAACCAGTATTTTGTTGTTATTACCTTGTTGTTAGACAGAATAATAATTTACGTCTCTCATTGATGGATAACAAGTGTCAGAATATTTTGTTCATTTTCATAAAGTGTGGAAAAAGAAGTGGATATTAAATGTATTTCATATGTCTAATTTTACTGAAAGTTATGGCATAGTGTATCAATATCTTTGAAACTTTAGTAAAGAAAGAGTGCCTTCTTAGATAACTGTATAAACAACTCTTAAAGTTTGTTTATTATGGAAATATATGATAAGAACAGTGCATGAAAGTTATAAATATGTCATGATTGGTAATACATCTGCTAAAGACTTACTTTTAGAGAAATTAAAGTAAATGACATGGTAAGTTATTATTTTAGTTTATTAAAAATATGGTTAACTTCTCGAAAAGAAACACATTTTTTTGTGTGTTTTATATGAGCTTCATATGTTTCTAGTTTGGTTTGAAACACTTTCAGAAGAAGTGTTTTTTTTTGTTTTTTTTTTACAGATACTTCTAACTAATGAGACATTTAGCAGTACCCTTACAAATAAATGCTTCTATAAGCTGATTTAGTGGTGTTTCTTATAATTTTCAGTCAACGTACAGATATGATTAGTATTTTCTGTTGGAATGAGTTTGTACAAACAATTATACTTTATACTAATGCATTGTCAGCTGGTCACTGATGAATAAACCTGATCAGTAGCTAGATCTACTTGAAAAGTTTCAAAAAAAGTATCATGTGTATAAACAAAGCTTACATAAAAATTACCACTCGGATAACATTCTCTATCATCACTTAGTTCGTTGGAATTGTGGTTTAATCCGAGGGTGCTCAGAATGTTCCTCCTCAATTTCTCCTTATGAAAGATTGTAACAATAGAGCATCATCAGAACATTAATAAAAACCAACCTTAGTCTATGACATGCTAGAGGAGAAGCTGAGATGGAAAAGTGGGGTAACATCGTGTAACACTATCAGTAGTATAGAAGTGGGATAGCATCATGTAACACTACCAGTAGTAGAGAAGTGGGATAACATCATGTAACACTATCAGTAGTAGAGAAGTGGGATAACATCATGTAACACTACCAGTAGTAGAGAAGTGGGATAACATCATGTAACACTACCAGTAGTAGAGAAGTGGGATAACATCATGTAACACTACACTGACATAGCTTGAAATTGCAGCTCTCAGCTGGTCATAGTATCTGTTTCATATAGTAAGAACCAATATGTTTCATATTTTGAATATGAAATAGAAACATATACTTTATTTATAACTTGCATACCAAAACTAGTGGTACATGCTAAATTAAAACTAAGAGTATTGAAATTAAGCTTTACTTTCATGTAATTTTCCATAATTTTTTTTATTTTTTAAGTAAATTCTAACTTCAAATAAATAATACATGATACTTTAATCTTGTGATTGAGACAAAAGTTATAAACAAAACAAGTAAGATGCATTGTAAATAAGGTTTGCAGATGTTATTATTAAAAATTAAAATATTTATTCCTTTAACAATGTTTCAAAGAATCCACAATACTCAACCTTAAGTGACTATCAGTGACACTAAAGTTTCTGGATAAAATAGATACTGTTACGACATCGAGGTCACGTGAT